TATATATATATATAGAGAGAGAGAGAGAGAGAGAGAGAGAGAGAGAATACTAACTTTTTTTAAGTTGTCTTCTTAGTCATCAAGTCTTTATGTTTGTGACCTTATTGGATCATTAAATAACTCTGTGAGATAAGAGGCAGGGATATAGCTCAGTTTATAGAGTACTTGACTAGCATCCACAGAGCCTTGGATTCGATCCCCAACACAGCATAAACTGGGCTTGGTGGTACACACCTCTATATGGTACTTAAGAAGAGGAGCCAGAAGACTGGGATTTCAGAATTCTCCCTGCTTATGTATTGCATTTGAGTTAAAAGCCAGCCTGGGATGTATGGGACCCTGTCTCAGGATGGGGTGGGACTCTGTGAGCTGAGAAGATGAGTGACAGAATTATTACTACATTTCTCTGTAGCCAGTGAAGAAATTGACTCAGAGAAGGAGAATGCATTAGGATCATTCATAGCCTGTTGGAAACCCAGGGTGCACTTACTTGTTTGAGGTGAGGTGTGGAAGAAGTTTAGCGAGGCTTAGCTGTAAATATCCACCTTAATACCAAAGTTCTGATCCTAGAGGCTAAGGACTCAACTTTATATTGAGAATAAAGACAAGAAACACACAAGGCTTATTGGCCTCTTTTATCTCCAAAACTTTGGGCATCATGAGGTTTGTATGGTGCCATCTCCCTTTCCCAGGAGGAAGGCCTATTAATACATCCATTCAGACAGCACATAGAGTGTGGACCCTGCACCTCACCTGATGCTAGAAGCTTGGGACTAAGGCAAACTGTATTGTTTCAAGTACCTCCACAGCCTTGCAAAACATCCATCGTATCTGTATTAAATATTATTCCCAGGTTAGTGAGAAAACAAAGAAAGAATGTGACTTGTCTTGGGTTACAACATTAGTGATAAAAGTGGGAGTCTATCGCTCTTTCTGATTCCCTTAATTTTTTGGACTCTAGGAATTTATGCTGTGCCTGAGGAGGTGGGTGGTACCCAAGTTCATCTATCCATTCAGACATAGTTGGCAGGCCCCTGCCAGTTTCTAAATAGTTGATTTGATGTGGTGTTAAGTAATATCAAGCTGGTTTTCTGCCTCCTCAGAGTTCTCAGTTGAGTAATATAGATTGTAGCATTGATCAAGAATTATATAACTGCAGAACTGGAGCTGGTTCCTCTTCTATGAAAGAGAAGTCGGCAGAACTAAAAGGCCTACAGAGAGAGAGAGAGAGGGGGGGGGTCTGTTCAGGGGAGGCAACCACTTATAGAGGACATTGGGGCTATGGTCAGCTAAGCAAACCAAAGAGAGAGGTGTCCCCTATGGGGATATCATGTCAGTGTTCTGTGATGAGAGGGGATGGAAGGAAAGCTGAAGAAGAGAGAATGGGAGCATATATAGTGTTGAGGTAGCTGAGGAAGAGCAGAACCAGCAAGTCTTTGTCATGTTGAAGAGTTAGTTCGCCTTTGTTTTCAGGGTCACGAGAAATGACTAATGGGTCCTGGGCTAGTGCTGAAGGAGAAATTCTCAGTAGGCAGCACAGACTAGATTTCAGTCTAATAAGGCCATTCTTTAGAATCATATTTTTTTTTAATTAACAAGCTGGATCATTTAAAGTATCACATATAACTGCAAGAGAAACTATTTTAATCAAATATAAGAAATCACAATTTTAAGATGCATGATTATTTTATGGACAATTAAGAAAGGAAAAAAAATCCCATCACAGGCAGTCTTCTAGGAGATACTACACAATGAGATGGCAACCAAGAGTTAGCACCACCATGCAAAAGGGAGAAACAGACCTGGTTCAACTTGGACCCTGAGTGGAGATGAAAAACTTAGAGCTGGAGGCCTGGCTACCTTTGCAGCATTACTTTTTGGGATTGGACCGTGTCAGTGTGAGTCAGAAGAACCTCAAGCAGGGACTTCCATGCCCCACAGTCGAAGGCTGGTGATCCCACCTGACTCGTCAGTGTTTTCTCCAGATGACCTGCCTCAGTCTGGGCCCACAGTAATGAGATGCCACATTGATGGGAGATGGTGCTGATGTCTGGCATTGCACATCCTGGAATCAAGGAAAGATTACAGAACCCTGTGCTTTACCCTAAAGACAGATGACTCTACAATTGCTTTCAAAGTCCTGTATGCCCTGTCATGGGATGTTGCATACTTGTTTGGTACAAGACACTGTGAATATAAAGGTCCTTTTGGTTCCATCAACAGACCTTGATCTCCACATCTGGTTTTCCTAAGAAGAGGAAGGCCATGGAGGGAGATGCTTGATGAACTGTCTTTGAAGGCCAAAGTAAATGCAAGAAGATTTAAGTGATGGTGACGACTTGATTAGTGAGGATGGGAAAGGGAGGGAGAGCTGGTTTTCTTAGGTTTGTGGAATTGCTACTCTGTTAACACTGGGCAGCTCCTCAGAGCTAAACTACCCAATACGCTCCCTGTATAGCAGTTTATTGGGCAGCACTTATCCGAGGTCACACAGCTGTCAGCCCCTGAGCTGTCTCAGGGCCATAAGTGGTTTCCTTCCCTGCAGTGAAATTGTCCTGTGTTCATGGCAAGTCATTAGTGACAGTGTCTCCTTTAGATGTTTCATAACCAGACCCTAGAACTGTACAAGACAAAGGGGACTGAGAGAAGCACCCCAAGACTGTCGGGGAAGTTAGAGAAGACTGTGACCTTCTCATGTCACCTGCCAGACAAATTGCTTTCTCCTAAGGTATCACAACCTGATGCAAAGGGCTGTCTGAGAAGGCCCAGGAAATTAATGTAGCCTCTGGACCTGTCTTCTCCTTACAGGCTCACAGCTGGTATTTTAATAGCCACCTGGAACACTGGGGCTGTCATGGCAGGAGGAGGTGTGGGGAGTGAAGTGTTTAATTGGGACCTAAAACAAGGAGGCCCAGACATGTCACACTGCTCTATGAGGTTCTGCCACCATGGAAATTTTTGCATTTAGGGAGGATATATTCATTTATGGGGTGCACATATGTGTACAGGTATATTTTATACATATGTGTGTGCATATGGAAACCAGTGGTCAACCTTATTATTCCTCTGGAAATACCTTCTTTGGTTTATGTCTTAGCATTTCTGTTGCTGTAAAGAGACCCTATGACCACAGTAACTCTTATGAAGGAAAGCATTTAATTGAGGTGACAGCTTACCGTTTGAGAAGTTTAGTTCATTATCATCATGGCAGGGACCTTGGCAGTGTGGCAGTGGCAGCATGGCAGCTGGTTGCATGATGGCATACAGGCAGACATAGTACTGGAGAGGTAGATGAGAGTGGTACATCTTCCAGGCAACAGAAAGTGAACTGAGACACTGGGCATTGCTTGAGCATATATAAGACCTCAAAGTCTGCCTTCACAGGGACACACTTCTTCCAACAAGAGCACACCCACTCCAACAAAGCCACACTTCCTAATGCTTCCACTCCCTTTGGGGGCCATTTTCTTTCAAACAACTATAGTTTGTTTTTGATAGAATCTCACTGTATAACCCTGGCTGGCCTGGAATTCATCATGCAGACCAGCTGGCCTCCAACAGACAGAGATCTACCTGTCTGCCTACTCAGTATCGGGATTAAAGGCATGTGCCACCATACCCAGCTCATCTACCTTGTTTTTTGAGAGACAACTTAGAATTCACTATGCAGACCAGGCTTGCTGGTCACTGAGCCCCAGGGATCTGCTTCTTTGGGCCTCCAAAGCACTGGGAATACCAGTACATTCTACTGTATTTGGCTATTTATATGGCTTTTGGGAACAAAACTCAGGTCCTCATGCTTGTGCAATAAGTGCTCTTCTGACTCCCCAACCCTCATGGAGGACTTTTAATTTACCAGACTTTAAATTAAAGCTTGGCTTCATGCTCAAGTTCAAACACCACCCTAGGCTGTCAGAGGGACAGGGAGAGTGTGTAGCATCTCCCAGAAAAGCAGTTCCTAAGAAGTTGGGAGGGGGGTCCTGGGACAGGCAGCTGTCCTATCCTGAGGTAGCTATAGTTGTGGCTGCCCTGTGTATGTCAGGAAAGGTGGCCACAGTTGGTAGTGGATGATTTTGTGAACGCTGCTGAAGAGGTAGAGCAGACTGAATAATCATGATAGGAAGAACCAAGGACTCCTCCTCAGCCTCTCCTCCTGCAGGTGACAATGACAATGATAGCTCCCAGTTAGAGGTGGCCGTGTGTCCAGATATCACCACCCTGTCACTG